CACACCTGGGGGGGTCTCCGAGCAGCTCCGCTGTCCCACACCTGGGGGGGTCTCCGAGCGGCTCCGCTGTCCCACACCTGGGGGGGTCTCCGAGCGGCTCCGCTGTCCCACACCTGGGGGGGTCTCCGAGCGACTCCGCTGTCCCGCATCTGTGTGTCCTGTGTGCTTACGAGTCTCTCTGCGCCCTGCTCCTCCGTGCTGTGTGCCCTGTGCCCTGTGCCCTGTGCCCTGTGCTCTGTGTTCGTCACCCGTTCGTGAGTGTGTGTGCTGTGTCCTGTGTGTGTCCCGGTGCTGTGTTGACAGGCCATGAACCCCCAAATCTCTGTTGCCCCAGCAGTCAGAGCAGACCGGGCTGTGTGCGTCTCGCCTCACGCTCTGCTGTGCGCTCGTTCTCCAGCGCCCCAGGACACCCCAGAGCAAACAGCGCTCTGATTACAAACAGCAGGGCCCGGGACCAGGGAGAAGCGTATTTAAGAAAACGCATTAGATGCCCAACCTTGTGTGGAGATCCGTCTCAGAATATCCTTAGCATACGCTGGAGATAGAGAGCTGGCATTTCTTATTTTACATTTCAGTTAATGATAAGCATTTTGCACCAGCGGACTCTTTTTCAAAAGGAACAGATTGTATTCCCTGGCACGTCTCGAGCCCCTGCAGATGTTGCCAGCTGTGACAGTGTATCTGGACGAAACATTACAGCCCCGCCGCAGGGAAGCGATGAGCAGGATGAGTCTTGGCACATGAGAACAGGGGCTTTTTGAAACAGGCCTGACAAGAAACTGAATTTATTTACCACGCTTGGGTTTACACTCAAGCAGAGGGAGGCGTTCCGCTCGGCGGGCGAAGTCTCCCTGGTGCTGGATCTTCCTGCGTGTTTTTGCGCGAGCTGTCCAGAAGTGGGCGCGAAGCTGTGTACGGCGCAGTGGGAAGAGCAGCACACATCTCACCCCTGGGTTAGAGGCGGCTGTTTGACGCGGAGACAGTCTCTGCTGCCCACAGCAGCCGAATCCGATGCCTGGGAACATCACAGCAGGCTCCCAGCGGGATTCACAAGTACAAACACCAGCTGCTCCCACAACAGACCCTGAGTGGGAGGATTTCTCTCAATAGGAGGCACATAGCAGCTAATATCCACCCAGCTCAGAGAGAGCGCTGGCCAGGGGGTTTGTGTGGCATCAAGCGCTCGAGCTCGTGAGTCCCCTCAGGCAGGGCTTGCTGGTGAGTTGGCACTGGGCGGCTGCTGTCCGAGGGGCTCCTGGCAGTTCTGGTAGAAATGTACTTGCTGTGCCAGGGCAGCCGGTGTCCTGCGGACACGACGCGGGCCCACACTGACCCGCGGCGGCGCGGGCGCTCGTGCCGGACCCTGACGCGCGTCTCCTCCCCCTCCCGCAGCGAGAAGGCCCTGCTGGTGAACAGGTTCGAGCTCAGCATCAAGACGGAGGCCACCCACGGCCTGCTGCTGTGGAGCGGGAAGGGGGTGGAGCGCTCCGACTACATCGCCCTGGCGCTGGTGGACGGCCGCGTGCAGATGACCTACGACCTGGGCTCCAAGCCCGTCGTGCTGCAGTCCACGGTCAGGGTCAACACCAACCGCTGGGTCCGGATTAAGGCCAGCAGGTAGGGCGCGCACCAGCACCTCCCAGGAAATCTGTTCCTGAGTAAATCCGCAGTTTGCCCACCCTTGCCTCCGGCTCACACGTTCTTGTCTTTTCCCGGATCCGGTTTCGTGGCGCCGTCACGGCAGCTGTGGGGGGCCTCGTGTTTAACGGGGCGCTGCAGAATTACAGGGGTCACAATGTCCCAGTGCAGCGAGCTCCTGTGCAGACAGGACACAGGCTGTGAAGGTCCAAGTGAGAAAAACAAGGAAGGAATGGTCCTTCTTCTCCCCCCGCCCCCGCAGTCTCCTTCACATTTGCACCTTCTCAGCTCTTCCGGTTGCTGTCGGAAACGGGGGCTCCCTGGTTAAGCCGGGGCTGAGGCACCCTGCTCTCTTGTGTGTCCGCAGGGCTCTGAGAGACGGCTCCCTGCAGGTGGACAACGAGGCGCCGGTCACCGGCTCGTCGCCCCTGGCCGCCACGCAGCTGGACACCGACGGCACCCTGTGGCTGGGTAAGCACACAGCCGGGGGCCTCAGAGGGGGCAGTCTGACCACACGGGGTGACCAGTCTCCCTGCTGACCAGAGCTGACCACCTTTCTTCTGATTTTGCATTTCACGGTCCCTCACCGTGGTGGTGGGGGGGTAGGGGGGCTGTGAATCTACTTGTATCTCGCTTTTTAGCCTCATCTTTCTTCCAAACAACTTTTGCAAGTGCTTTTTTAACATAACTGTGCTACAGCTTCTTAATGAGGCTCATTATCTAATTTAATTCTTCACCGTTAGAATGATAACGTGATAGGATTTGTGTGGTGCCGAGGAGTGGCACAGTGCTGCCTCTCAGCGCTGGGACCCTGGGCTCAATCCCTCGGGTGCTATCTGCGTGGAGTGTGTTTCCTCTGCGCAGTCCCGAGACACACTGGTAGGTTCACTGGCTCCTGAGCCCTGAGGCGGGCTGGGAGCTCGTGAGTCCTGTCCAGGGTGTGCCCCGTTGCTTGTCGGCAGAGACACGGCTCCCATGACCCTGAGCTGTGGGGGTAAGGCGGTTGGGAAATGGCCGTTGCTCCGTCTCCCTCACGGTGTGCCTTCCCCTCCCGCAGGCGGGCTGGAGCAGCTGGCCGTGGCCAGGAAGCTGCCCAAGGCCTACAGCACGGGCTTCGTGGGGTGTGTGAAGGACGTGGTGGTGGACGGCCTGGAGCTGCACCTGGTGGAGGACGCCTTAAACAGCCCCAAAATCCTGCACTGCTCGGCCAAATAACCGGCGCCGCCCACCCTGTCTATTGCTGTAATTATTTTCTATTTTTGTATACTTTTATTGCTTTTTATATTGGAAAATACATCGTTGTTTTTCGTTTGTTTTTGTTTTGGTTCGGTTTGTTGTTTTCTGCTCCTCTGTTGTTGTTGGACGCCATCGTTCTCCGGACGAGCCCTGCAAGCCCTCGTGTCGTGGAGGTCTCTGGGAGGGGAGGCCGAAGCCCCGCTCGTGCCTGGAGCCTGGCAGGTGGCGCTGGTGCCGCCGTCCCCTCCCCTCCCCTCCACCTCGCAGGACTGTCCAGCCCGGGCGGACCGGCGCCGAGGGATCGAGCGGGACCGGCCCCTTTGTGTTACTGTGTTGTTATTGTTCCTTTTTTTATACTTTTAAGAATTAATTTATGTGTGAGCGTACCTGTGACTGACTTCTAGCTTGCTACAGTACGTGATTGTAAGATAATGAAAGAATGAGCTGCCTTCGGCCGGCAGTAAGGAGGACAGAGCTCCCGCTGCGAAATCACACAGAACAAAGCGTGTTCCGACCCCGAAGGGCAGCGTCTGGGACGGGACAGACAGCAGTGCCCGTCTCCGCGGCGCTGTTCCAGCTCTGCGTGGGCCTCACCCCGCAGCGCGGCTCTTGGCTTCACAGAAACACGCGTGTAATGACCACGCCTCGCGTGTGGAGCTGTGCACCTTTCTGATTTAGGAAACGCCAACGTCGTTTTAAACATTTAGATGCAAAACACCTGCCAGTGCAGGTTTCAGTACACGCGGGGAGAGCCTGCAGAGCTCGTCTTGCTAGCTGTTCATCATGCCTCATATCTCATGAGATATACAAATTCCTGCCGACAAAACCTTTGTGTTTCCTGTCTCTCTCACGTTTTCCTTGCTACAAGGGTCGCGCCCTGGGCAAAGACGTAGCGGTCTTGTAATCAGCATTTGAAAGAGAAGTTCGGTGAAGATTTTGTTTGAACGTCAAAGGTTGCTACTGAGCCAAATAACAGATGCCTTTTTGAAACATACTGAGAGGCCTTAAAAACACAACAACGGAGAATTGGAACTGATAGCGTTTGTTGCATTGTTAATGCCTCACGGTATAATTAATGTTAACAAGAGCTAAGTGCTTTTTAAAAAAACTGTTTTCTCTTCTTTTTATTGGTTTAAGTGTTTAAAATGTGCCAAAAGAGAAAAAAAAAGAAACGTCTGTGATAGTCATGCCACCAGGGGGCGCTGTAACACAAGCAGAGGAGTCCTTCAGCGACAGAGGGCGCAGGGTTGGGCGCCAGGGGCCGGAGTCTCCGTTCATCATGGGCAAATGGAGAAAAGACTGATATGTCCATTTGTGAGGTTTCTATTCACAAGCAACTGAGAACTTCCTTTTCCATTCTTGAAATGTAAGAAAAACAAACTGAAACGATCTCCAGATGCCTTTTGGGCTCAGCAGCCCAGTTCTTGCAGAAGCTGGGAAAAAAAAAGACAAGGATCCTTTGCATCTGTCATCCTTTGCCCTGAAGGAAACAATAAAAATACTAATTACAATAGTGCATGGGTTTGTGCTGTTGGATGAATAGCCTGTATAAAGAGAGAACCAGTGTAATCAAAGAGTTCTGTTGGTCTGAAACGTGCATTATTGCAAGACTTTAAAATTGTGCTCAATTTGCATTTATTAAGTGACAAAAAACGTGCTTGTTCACAGTAGGAAGCCAGTGGCCCTATAAATGGTTCCTTGCTTTTTATTTTTCTAACGTTCCACGTTACTAGAGATACTTTTGCACAAAGCTGGGATCTAAACTGTAAATTAGTAACGCATCAATCTCAAGGTGTTTTTGTATGATACACTGGAACAGAACATATGCAGTCGTGGGGAATTCACGATCTTGACATTTGGAAATCCGCGTCACTGGGGTTGGGACTTTGTAAAAGAAGGTCTTTAACACGTCTGTATTCTCTCCTCTGGGAGTGGTGTGGTTTTTGGGGCGAGGCTTGTGGAGATACAGGAGGCTTGTGTGGAGCGAGAGCTGTGATCGAAGCTTCCAGCCGGATTCTGCACAGGCCCTGAACACGGCGTGATCTGACGTAACGGCATTTCATTCTTGGTTGGCTCGTTTGTTGATCAGCTTCACATTAAAGTGAAAGAAATTTTACGGTAATAAATTTACAGCTGTGCAGAAAACACAGTTCCTGTCCGTCAGAAGCCTCGTCAGAAAACACAAATCAGACTAACGAGGGTTTTTGAAATACTGTAATAGGATAAAAATTCCAGGCTTGGCAACACGCTGTACCGTCTCAGAAATGCCTTAAACAATGGAAATTGCCTGATTCTGGTGACCGCTGTGTTCATGTTGTGTTGTGCACTTACTTTAGCCACTACCTTAGTTTTATCCCTATAATGTAAAAATAACAATAATAAATAATGACAACAATAACAAAACAATCCCAGAATGTTTTTTTAAAGTATTTTTCCAGCCCGTATTCCTTATTTATGTGTCTTCACATGGAGCGGAAGGCGGGCCTTTGTGAAGCGGCTGGGTGGGGCGGACCTGAAGGACAGTGCGCTACGGCGCCACAGAGCCCCCACTCACGTCAATACCTGTGTCTTGTGTTCCTGCCACCACAAATTAAAGTCTACAAACCTCCTTCTCCTCCTCCGGCGTGTCTTTGTTCCGCGGCGGGCGGACTTGGAGAGAGGGAGAGAAAGGGCCGTGAGACACAGAGGCCACTCGGGCGCGGGGACGAGGGGCAGAGAGACTGGGCCAGCAGGAAGTGCAGGGCCTGACAAGGAGGATGTGCGCGCACAGCTCTCTCTCACTGCTCAGCAGCAGCGCTCTGGACTGAGAGCCGGCGATTCCACATTAGGAGAGACGTCATGAACAATGAAGTTGTTTTCCTCCTGTGCCCTCAGTCCTAACCTTCTTAATGTGTATGTGGTATTTAAGAGTCCGGACGTTTTAGTCTTGACAGAGGCCGAATTACACCACAACGAAAGAAAATTGCTTCAAGCGTTGTGCTGCTTGAAACTGTGACGAGGGGCCGGATTAGACACCTAAAACGAGAAATCGGAAGCTTTTATGAGGAAATGTGGTGGAATTCGCCCTTAAGCCCTGTAGTAATTCTGCATGGAAAATGAAAAGTTCAATCGCTCATAAAGGCCGGCTGGCTTCACCCGCGCACACACACACAGTCTGCTCACACGCAGAATAACGAAGTCATTCTTCGTTAAGACAAGGGAGCTCCTGTCTGGAGGGATCAGAAAGCCCTCAGTCCACAGACGTGCTTGTCAGAGGTTCATCCTCTCCGAAGGGTTCAGAAGGCAGGACTTCTGAAAGAACGTCCTCCTCTAGCATCCTGCCATCACACAGCAAGGAGACATCAGTGCACACAGTAAAACATCAGATCTCAGCGTTACGATTTAAGAAAATAAATGAATTCACAGTTCTGACTCAGCTGTGTCTGCAGCAGGGAGAGTCGGTGCACACAGTAATACTGACAGGCAGTAACACTCCACACACCAGAGTCCCCGGGCAGCTCCTTCAAGCCTCGTGCAGCAAGGAAGAGAAGCTCACAATTCGGCTGCATTTCAAAACTGTTACACTGGGCTTAGTTAATACACAACTCCCTGCTGCTGAAGCAAACAGATCTGCATGCTTGCAAGAGCAACACGCCTTCTCTACAGCAATATGTATTTTCCCCTCACTCTGTACACCTGCCTGTAGAGAGAACAGATTCCTAGTGAAATTGCTGTGGTTTCCATTGCAAAATCAATTCAGAAGGGAATAGGAAAGCAAGCTATTGCAGTCAATGGAACACTAACTCTCTAGGAATAAACAACTGGCTGGGATTTGATCCAGCAATTAAAATTTGTCTGCTCTGCGGTGGTGCTGCTCGTTCTGACCACTGTGGGTCAGGAGGGGGGTAATTCTGACCAGTGCGGGTCAGGAGGGGGGTAACTGGCTCTGAATCCCCACACCAGATTAAGGCCTGGCGATGGCCGGGGCAGAGAGACATCAAAGCAGTTCTCTTTGCAGTTCAACGATTTATAAGCAAAGAAGCCGGTCGTTTATTTCAGGAAACATGAAACACCCCTCGAACCCACTGTAGCGAGTGGTCAGACTGTAGAAATCGTCAGTGACTGCAAGGACTTGGGACTGGTCCTAGACACAGTCCTGAGCTTGGACGAGTGCTGTGACAGCATTTATAAAAAAGGACAACAGAGACTCTTTTTTTTTCTGAGGAAGCTCAGCTATTCCAAGGTAGATGGAACCATCTTAATGCTTTTCTACAAGTCTTTTATTGAAAGTGTCTTAACATACTGTCTCACTTGCTGTTCTTTGGTAACATCACTACCATTGAGTGTGACAGACTGGGAAAGGTAGTCAAAATAAGTCATCAATTATTTGGGGCGAGTCAGATCGCCTTTAGATACTTAATATTCTCTACAAACAGAGGGTGGCAAACAGAGCAGGGTGTATTATGGACTGCGTCTCTCAGCCCCTCCACAGCAAGTTCACACTTCACCCGTGTGGGAGACGCCACTGTGTCCCCAGGTGTGATAGTAACAGACACAGGAAATCTTTCAACACTGTTGCCCGGACGTCTTGGTTGGCAAAAAGCCGCCTGTGCCGGTGTTGGTAACGTTGGGAATGCGCTGTAAAGCGAATTTCCCCAAACGGGCCGGAAAAACCGAAACTGAACGGCGAGCCCGGGGCGGACCTGATGGGCCGCCGTACAGAGAGACGTGTCCGTGCACCGCGCCCTGTGGGCTCATCCCGCCCGGGACGGGGAGACCCGGTGGGACGGGGTTCGGCAGACCAGCTGCTCTGGGAGTCAGGATTGTTTCTGGACCCCTCCAGTCCCGATCCCTGAATGCCGGACCCCCCAAGAGAACGTGACCTTCGGCCCTGAAACGTCCAGTTCACCTCTGAGACGCGAGCAGGGTTTGAATTCTGGCCTGGCTGACCCGCCAGACCGGGGTGTTCAAGACCCCCCCCGGCCCGAGCACGTCGTGTGGGTCCGACACAACACCACCCGCAGTCGGGACACTGCGGAGGAGCCGGGTGCGGGCGGAGACCGGCGCGCAGGTGAGAACCCACGTCAGTATGCACTCCCGATCCTGGAGGTAGAAGCTACACCGCCTTTTACAGGCAGCCGGCAGCCCCCAGCGACAGACGTCCTGGGCACCGCCGGCCACCGGCCGATCAGCGAACTGAGTCAGGGCCAGTCCGGCCTGGTTGGAGCCAAAACCCGGTGCACACAACACCTGGATCCAATCCGCTTCGACACCCTGAACCTTGATTCGGACGCGGCTCACACAGAGCAACGGCCAATGTTCTGAATGCGAGTCGAGGAAGAAACAAAAGGAAGAGCTGAATTAAAGTACTTCCTACTAATGCGCCTCTGCAGAAGCGGCCCCCAGTACCGCAGCCACCCGTGCGTGTCCGGGTTTCTAGCCACGGGATTGAAATTCCAGATTTAGTCCGATGTTGGTTTGTTGTTGTTTTTTCTCATTACGCCCCGGCAGATGATTATGACCGCAGTGTGCTGGAGTGGAGAGGCTCGGGCGGCCGGGGGGTCGCTGTGTGTTTAAGAGCGCTGTGCGCCGGGAGCCGGGGGCGTGGTCTGGTCAGCGCCGGGGCTCCGGCAGGACTGCGCCGCCTCACTCGGGGGTCCGGCGGTCCTGGAGAGAAGCCCCTCTTGCGGTCGGACTCGGACAGCCTGCGGAGACCGGTCATGACTTCTCGCAGGTGAGGCGAAAGGCTGCTGCTGCCGCCGGTGCCACGGGGGTGCGGGGAGTTCGGTGTCGGGACCGGGCGGGATACGTTTGTGGGCTCCGGGACTCCGAGCCGCCCGTGTCGCCTCGGCTCGGGCTTGATCTCGCGTCCGACACCGCGGCGTCGCGGACACGGGCTCCGGTGCCGTTCCAGATACGGGTGTCCCGCCGGGCCGGGCCGGGCCGGACCGGACCGGACCGTCGGCGGAAACCGAAATGCTGAGCCCCCCACCTGCGCTCAGGGGGCCGTGATTGAGGTCCCATCTCCCGCAGGGTCGTGGGATTGAGACAGGAAGTCCGGCTTCCCTGCGGCGGCTCTCTCGGTGACAGGCGTGTGTGGAAGGGGACGGGTGCTGCGTTGTTTCTGCGGTTTGTTTTGGTGTCGGCTCTGGGGCTTTGCGCTGACATGTTCTCTGCTCCCTCCGGCCGGCTGCACCGCGACGATGGCCGCTGCTCCTGTGTCGCTGCGATGGGACGACTTGGAGATGATAAATAATCTTGCGAGCTGTGGTTCCACGTCCGTGTGAGGGACCGAGAGAGTTGGGTCTCATCAGCGCTGTATGTAGCAAGAAATAGGACGGACGCAGGGGCACAGCGCGACCTGGCCGGGTACCGGATCACAGTATGAGGCGGCCGTTCCCCTCTTCAGCCGGGGCACCCCGGGATGTCTGGAGTTGATCCTTTATTCCGAGTGACGTCAGTTTGTCCGAAGTGTACTGTAGGGGCTCGGTGTGTTTGCAGACTCAAAGGAAGTGTCCCTCTAACGTGGGCTTCCCGTGTCCAAGGCAGTGCCGGGTCAGTGCGAGGCCGATTTACTCTGAAGATTGAGAGGTTGACAGCTCTTCTGTGCCCAGATAATGGCGCAGTTTTGGCTTACTTCGTACCTAAACCCTTTTAAGGCCAACCAAACCACGAGAACAACGGGCGCGTTGGAGTGAGGAGAGGTGTTGCTGTAAACCACTCGAGTGTGTTTCTCACCCTGGAGTTAAAACCGGATTATGATTCCTCCGTTTTCCGGTTTTAAAGAGAAACTCCTTAGCTCGAGAAACATCGCTTCCTAGCCAGTTTAATGGGGTGCTTTAGGTGCTCCCTTTTGTGTTCTGCACAGCTGTCATCGTGTCGGAGCAGGCTGGCGTGGCGTGACGGTGTTGTGGATAGTCTGTCTTTCCTGCGCCAGGGTTGCGTGTCCTGCGTCACTGGCGCAACTTTCTCCTGAAACTTTGTGGCCCTGGGGATGCGGCAACATGAGTGATATCATTTATTCTCTCCTGGGGGACTTTACTGGATAATTCTTGTATTTTATTAACTGGCAACCAAGCGTATTCGGCAGAGATTAAAGGATTAGCCCTTCTGTGGAGAATATTAGGGCTGGGCGTCTCAGCGATTTTCATTTCGCGG